GGGCCCCCCCCCCCCGGTTTCCAACCCCTGGTATTTTCCCACCTAAGGCCATCGCGGGTCGAATACGCGCGAACTCGCTAATGCGGCACTAGCGTTGCCGCGAAGCATCGCAGCCCCGGCACACTCGGGGTAACTTTTATACGCTCGTATGGATTCCATTAGTAATCTTTATGCGATCTGTTAACGCGCGCCGTGCGGAAAGTTGGAAGAGTCCTTGGAGGATTCCTTTATTCTTCCGCGCTAGCTCGCGCGACTTTTATAGCGGAGCACGGGAGCTGAGTCTGCGCGCGTCATTACGTTTATATCGTTCTGCAGAATTTCGGGAATTAGAATGTCGATACGGTCGTTGAGTACATTTTGCAAGCGACATTTACTCGTGAGAGTATAAAGATGAAGTTCCAGAGAATCACCTTTTCTACATTGCTTTCAGTCATTTGGGACCAATTTTTTTTTACTGAAAATTTAATACATACAAAGTCACTATTTGTTGTCACTTTTTAAAATTAAATGTCTTGTCGAAATATGTTCAATTTTTTAATTGAATTGCGTGTATGGAGAACTTATTTCACGTTTCACCTATTTATAAAATTTATGTCAATGCAAAATTTATTCTTTTCACAAAGACTCTTTACTGTATAAAAAGAATGGCTTTTACTTTGACATATTTTATAAACAGATGAAATTGAAAAATGGTTCTTTGTACGTACTATTCAATTTTTAATTATGCAAACTTATTTTGACTAACAATTTCAGATTCAATTTTATACATATATGTACATATATAAAATATTTAATATTTTGTTAATATTGGGAGGGTTTAAATTTGTGTGATATTCTTTCAAAAACAATCTTGCGATAATAAACATTTTTTTTTATACCTTTTTTGTTGTTGCAGATATTGTTAGCAATGAAAGTACTAATTTTGCTATTTCCTTACTTTGCTTCTATGATAATATATGTATATATTCAGTAATATTCAGGGCATATATAGTTATAATGACATTACTAATAATATCTATATCTTTCACAAGCACCGTTATCGCTGCTATGTTGCGAAATAGAACTGCGCGCGAAGTATAGTATCCGGTTGCCATGCAACTTCTGCATACCCGCTTTAAGCGATTCTGTTAGTAACCTTTATACAGCTGGGAAAAGAAGGAAAATCCTTCGAGAATTTTTCCCTGAACGGCTTACCTCTCGACTTTCAAACGAGACTATTCTGCCATTTTATACATAGTGGTACCGAATAAAGTTATGGCAAGATAACGAAATAGTGAGTAAAAGTTAATGTCGATGTTTAACGAAAGGAAATATTATTTTATGCACTTAAGCAAGCTTAATTTATAATAAATATATACTTGTGTGTACTAAATATAATACTGTAATACTTTATAAGATATTAACCTACATTTTGTTATGTTTCTGTTGCAGGTAAGCGTGCATATTCATCATGTTAAAAGTGATACGTAAGTGACAGTTATGTAGATGAAGAAAACGACGCGAAGTAAGTACGATACCGAACGGATAATATATAATTGCAATATTAAACATTATATATATATATATATACTGTATACTGTTAAATTCTATAACGTCAAACTGTACCCAATATGAATTATTTTTTATCATTTTTACGTCTCCACTCCTAAATATATGTTGTAAATTTAACTAAAATAATAAACAGTCTAACTCAAGAAAAATATATTAATAATTAAGATTATAAAAATATATTAAATTTGATTGAAATTTAATTTATTTACTAAGCGCATACGTTAATATGGACGTTGTTTATTTTGAAAGTAACTACAGAAATTGATTGATTTATGTTTTGATACACACATGAAAGTTACAAACAACAAATATTTTTTAATTCAAGAGATTGGATTGCTATTGCTCCTTTGATATCTAACAGAGTAAATAAATATTAGTACAGTAAAATATGATGGCAACTACGCGATATTTCGTGCATCATTCCATTTATTTATTAATTAGTAATTAGATACTTGATTATTCGCTTCCCCCATGTGCACATATATTTGATGAAGGCAGGTACACAGCGTGTTCTAATGAGTGCTGCTGGTATCGACGATACTATAATTGCACCGAATTACATTACGTCACCGATCGAATATACAGTTAATGTTTGCCAAACATACGTGAAGTTAATCCATGAAACGCCTAATAACTGATCAAATCTATTTGTTTCAATACAAATATAAATCGATAACAAATCCATGATAAAACGACTGCGAAGTTCTGTATTTTTTAAATTTTATTAAGTATCGCAGTTTATTTGGGATTTTATTTTAATCAATAGTCAATATACCGTTCTCGTATGTTTACACGAAGAGAACGGTTTGCTGAAATATTTAAAATATTTGCTAGATATAGATCTAAATATAATTTTGTTAGACCATCAAAACAATTATATAATATTTTCAAACACGATGAGTAATGCTGTAAAAAGTTTCGACATTCTAACAATCAGCTTGAACATTCTATATAATTATTTTGATGGTCCAACACAATTATTTTCAAATAGGTGTTTACTTTTAAATACTTTAGGAAAAATTGTTCTTTCAATATAGTTTAACTTTTCCCAGAATATTATGTTCTTCTCTTATACACATTTGTAATTCTCTTTGTACGTGTGTATCTCGAGTGTTTTATTTTCGAGAAATCTTCTTTGAACTTTGATAAATCATCGTCAGTCAGTATATCAGTGGTAAATACTCTTCTTCCAGTCTGCCGTTATGATTTCTGGCGATTCAATCTACCGCAGACGGAACGCGCGATTAATTAATACACCTTTCACTCAATATCAATAATCGATAACTTTCAATATGGCAATATCAATCGACGACTTCGTTCGTGGCAGAGACAATCTTGCCGTATCTAACACAAGACGGCACTACCTTCGATTAGGTCGATTAGGTATAGATCCTCGGATGCCAATATTGATCAGCATCGATCTGAAATATTCCAATAACGAGGTTTGATTTAGGACAAGTTAGGTCGCGGCCAATTGCCTCCCGATTCCGGTCTAAGGCGATGGTCCGGGACAGTCTGACGACGCCTTGTGCAATTAGGCGACGGGATCAATTTGATGGCAGGGAAACGACCGATCGAGCGATCGTGAACTTTGTGTCGATCATTAATTCACCCAATGTTACAACCGAACCCCTTGAATCAGCGAAGCACTCGCATTACTTGCAGATGTGCAAACACGAGAAGGTTGACAAACGCTACACACGGTTAGAGGAGATATTGCCGCGCAATTGACCCCATATCCCCCCTGGCGTTATGCAGTATGATATTAGATTAGATTTCGGCAAATTGTCCTCTAGAATTACGCGAACGCATGAGGGAGTTGTGCCGTTGTTTACCAGGCGTCAGTTCGGAATTTGGTGAGATTGTTATACCGAATGCAACTTGGGAATGCAGCGTGACGCTGTTGATTGTTGATATATTCGTACGATTTGGATGGCGTGGTGCGACAGATATTGCAATTTGAATTACAAAATATATTTGTTACGATATCCTATTTTGTGGTTACTTCAAAATAGTTTTTATTTTTAGCAGGAAAGCAATGTGGAGTTGATGAAACGGTTCAGTCTTTGGATATAATTTAATAAATATATGAAAATATTGCTGGAATGCAATTCCTATTGTTGATTCTGTTATAAAATGCAATTCTATCGTTGGCTTCAATATTTGCGCGCAGTATTTTGATATTAATTACACTCCAAAAAAAATATAGGTGTAAATGTTAAATAAAATTCTCATCGTGTTGACATAAATATCAACATGGTGTGAATTTAATACTATAAGTTTTGAACCATGGTTAAATTCACATATATTGATGTTTACCATATATTAAAGGTGAAAATTATATAAATACCACATCGTACAAAATGTTTGATGTTAAATTATTGTATTAATGTATTATATATGATATTCTCACAAAAATTAGCACACGTTCCGCGATTGAATCTCATATATGTAAAAGATGATTATAGTTACTGGTTATATAGGTAAATGCTGTATACGCGATTATCGGAATGAAATTCGCATGGCGTGACCGCAAATAGTCTTTTCGCTTTTCATCGTGCAAATAGCAACGAACATTACGCCACAATAATTACGTATTGTCATCTAATTGGCTCGATATCCCCGGTATTACGGCGTGCAATATTAGATTAGATTTCGCCAAATTGTACGTGGAACGGTGGAAAATTACACAGCTGCATTAGAGAGGGACCGTGGGCTTTATTTGTCGGGTATCATGATACATGCGGAATACTGCGAAAATGTACTGTGTTAGAATATGTTTGAAATTGATGAATCGATTTCGAGAATTGAGAATATGCAGGATGTTTGGAAAATAATGATAAATCTTTCGCATAGGGGCAGAATGGACTAAACCGAGTAGAAAAGTCATCTACCGTTTTGCAATTTTCGCAATAATTAACAAGATATTAATTGCTAAAAATTGCGAAAGATTTATTATTATTTTCCAAACACCCTGTATATGTTATCTTTCGTAACTATGGACCAAGCTTTGATTTCAAAGCAAGTATTCATTCACTGAAAAAAATGGTCTTGTTGGATTAAATAGTAATTTTGGTGAAAAACGGAGGAATCAGCAGAAATTTATTTTTCAGTGTTCAGTATAGGATCCAACGTAACGGGCATATAGAGGGTGTCTAAATTTTTTTCGAAATGATACATTATCAGGAGATTTAATTTGACAAAAATTTCATGAATTTCGATTTATTCGCATGATTTTTTTAACTGCTAAGGCTCGTGTAACTCAGGTAAATTTTTACAGTTCGGTTGGCATTTTCGAAATTACGATGCTCGCGCGTCGAGGGAAAATCGTATAACTTCCTAATAAAGTATTTAGCCATCGTATGGAAGCGCAGCGAGGATGGTTATACGTACGAACGAAGTGAAGGAGGCGACGGCAGCGGGTGTAGAACGTGGAGGAGATGCAGGAGTGGCGGTACGGCGGGAGTTTCAGTTTCCGGGTGATCTGTGGCTCCCTCGTCGTGAGAATCGATGCCGCCAGCCGCCCAATAACCATACATCGTACGACTATCACACCCCTGGGGTATATACCCGCGCACCGTATCTTCCTCACTCCTTCGCTCTCTCGCTTTCTCTCTCTCTCTCTCTCTCTCTCTCTCTCTCGTACGCACGCGTGCCCTCCCACGCCCTTCTCTCTTCCTCCTGACCTTCTTCATCTCTACTTGCCTTATTACAAATAGCCAGGCATACCCTACCCCGCTTCGCTTGAGAAAAATTGCCCGGGATTTGAATTATTGCGCGTTACTCCTTCTCTTTCTGGCGCGGCTCGAATTACTATTCGTTATTCCTCCGCCTGAGATTCAAATTATCCTAGGAGGTGCGAATTGTTATTTATTGGTCGTTTGTATATCGAATACATTTAGGTCGTTGTTACTTCCGCAATTTTAAACGCCGCCTCGAATTGTGGAGCTTACCTTCTCTTTTCGCTCTCGCGCTTTTTCCCCTCCTTTTCTATCTCTTATTCTTTCCAATTTTCGCGCGGCTCTCTTGAAATTTTTAAATGCAATCTCCTGCCCGCTGTAATTTTATTTATTTGTACGTCTTTGTTCTGTGCACTTTGTTGGTTTTAGAAAAAAGCATTGTTAGTAACTTAATAGTTCGTTATCTTTCGGTTACCATGTGCACATCCTCGATTTACGTCACGGCATCACAACACGTTACTCGTATCGTAAATATCTCCTATTGCTGTTGACTGTAGTATACTGCGCAACCCGATCTCAGCCTTCACTTGAATTTCAGAGTAGCGCGTGTAATTGGAATTAATCTTCACCAAGCTTGATATAACGAAGATGAGTGAATATTATAGTTGATGTCGATGCGACATCGACCAGAGAAGACGTGATGATTTTTGTATATTTAGATATCCCGTATTTTACAATATATATATATTTTCTCTCTAGTACGTTCTATCGCAATTTTATTTTTTTAATTTTTTATTCTATCATTATTGTTAATTAATTTAAGATAACGCACTTTTACTTTCAATGTTTCCTTTACATTCCAATTTTAATTAGTAGAGAAATAACGTTAAAACTTAAATAAATGAGTTGATTGTACCTTCGATTTTTACTGATCTACTACTTTACAAATGAATATTTGATATTTCTTGCATATGACTTGAATTGTAGGCAAGTAAATCATTTATTGACAATTATCAACATTTAAGCCTAACGACATTTAAGCATAATATGGTACGAATTCTCGTCGTCTTATTCTCAAGTTATCATTTTGTCTTGATTTCTCTGTTTTCTGAAACAATTACTTAAAATATAAATTTTGTTGAAATTGCACAGTGAGTTATAGTTGCCGCTATTATTCGTTATTTTTTACTCATTATGGAGAAAGGACATTTAAGACGGCGACTGAACGTAGAAGAGAAAATTGTGTTCCCGTTCCTCGAGTGAAATTATGCAAAGTTACGAGTGCGACTCGTATTTCCTGTGATAAACCGTTAGCGTATTATTAAAATTAAAATCTGGAGTAACCGGTAGAAAATCTACCGTAATTTAATCTCTTCAAGCTGCACAGTTATGAAGCCGTCTCTGAAAATCCACGATCGTTACTTTCATATTACATTACTGGTATGATTATTGGCATTGCGTCATGGCAGAATTCACATAAATGAATTAATGAAATGTTATATATTCAATAAATAGATATGTTTCGTACGTTATTTATGGAAATTTTATAGAGAGTTTTTATAATCAATTAAAATGATATGTATGAAATTAATACACATACTATTTATTTCTTATAAATTATATTTCTTTCTTTAATTATATCTCTTATAAACATGACACGTTATTGTAAGGTATCAAGCTAGGTATTGTAAATTTAAATGCGAGTGGTTGGCAAAACGCGGAGCGATTAGCATCATGCTGTGGGATCGTGCTTTTTAAATGTTGCAATTAATTGGCGGAAGAAGAAAAAGGGAAAAGATGGAGGGAAACGCGTTCAAAGGCGATATTTATAACGATTCTGATTTTACCGCGAGGAAAGAGCTCCGCGGTTCGAGATGTCTGAAGAGCCGCGGTAGAACGCGGGGGGTTGTTGGGAGAAAGGGGAGGAGAGACGGCGGTGTAAAAAAAAAAGGAAAGGAAGCTCAAGAACATTCGAGAGTGGAATACGAAGTGGGCTGGAGGAGACGAGACGGAACGTGATAATTGCGGGGAAGGATAATTTAACAGGCGGCTCTTTTCCGCCTCGGCTTCTGCTCGCTGTCCGCCCCCGCGCTCCCTCCATCTCCCATCTTCCCTCATTCCTGTTTTTAATACATCTTCCACTGTCGTCGTGGCACGCAACGACGTGCCGTAACGCTAAACAAGTGCAAACCGAGAGAGCACGATGGGAAAAATAGTGCGATCTCTATAGTTGAAAGTGTCGCGTCAGGAATTCCTGTAATTGTTTCAATTTCGTTAATGCTGCATTTGATCTTTCCAATTTTAATTAGTAGAGAAATAACGTTAAAACTTAAATTAATGAGTTGATTATACCTTCGATTTTTACTGATCTACTTTACCGTTTGGTTCTGTCGTTGAAAACAGACTCATTTATCGATCACTGTTAAATTCATAACGTCGAATTATACTCAATTTGAGTTATTTTTAATCATTTTATAGGTTGCCACTGTTCTTACTCAATATACCGTTAATTTAAATAAAACAATGGAGTTAAACAATTTAACTCAAGAAAATGTATACATTAAAAGCTTAAATTTAGTTCATTTACTAAGTGCACATACATATTAATATAGACATTGTTTACTTTGAAACTAACCACAGAAATAAATTGATTTACATTTTGACACACACACGTTAGAAGTTAAAACTAATAAAACGTTATTTAACTCGATCAAGGGATTGGGTTACCATCATTGCTCCTTTGATATCCACAGATAACAAAGATTTATTACTAAAGTAAATTAGATTTTAAGATGTCTTGACGATTCTCGCGCGGTGGGTCTCGTCTCTCCTAGGCTATTCGCTCGTCCTCTATCTACTTCTACCCGCATCGCGCCGTGGAACGGTCACCCGCGCTGGGTGTGCAGACAGTCACTACGGCAGTATTTATGGAAATGAACCGAGGTAGTTTGAACCCTCTTTTCGCCCGCCCCGCCACCCATCCGCGTCGACTACACCTACTCCATCGCCTCTCCCGCTATAGCTACCTGGGGGGAGGGGGGCAGGGTCCACCCCCGCATGGACTTTTTCCACTTCGCTCCCGCGCATCCGCCGTCCGCCCCTGTCGTTTCACCCGCTTTATTCTCTGCCTCCGACCCTCTGCTCTTCTCCCGTCCCTTCTCTATATTCCATGTCTTTCCCGCCAACTCCGTCTTCTCGCCTTCCTCGTCTCGCGTGCGGGCAAAATCCACGCGCGCAGCTGCTGCCGCTGTTTGCCCACCTAATTACGCGGAATTCATAAGTTACGGAGCACGGCACGCGTGCCGGCGACCCCTCCTGGTTACTTTTATTTCCGCTGTAATTTACGAACGAAAACGCGCGGTATATACTGTATGTATACTCTGCGGCTACCTTTTTCGCGCGACTCTGCGGAAACGCATTATTTTTCATGTATTCGCCTGTGATGTGATTTCTATGTGATAGCCTCGTTTGCGTCAGTCCGAATTAATTGTTCGCTGTATGAGTTCGTTGTACGAAACGAACTGAAGAAGTTGTAAGATCTTTTAAGTAAACTGATTTCTTTTACCACTAGAAAAGATTATTTTGCTTCTGAGAAAGAGAGTGTGTTTACCATATTTATTCTAATTAGATAATAATAGAAACCAGAAAATGTATAAAGTGTTAAATGAATAAATGATTATATTTACCGTTTATGCGAAAGCTAACAATAAGTAATAGAAGCTGAGAAACGAAAAGAAGAAATATATAATAATTTTAAACTATTATGTATATAGTTGGTTTTTATTTTTTTGAACTTCATTTTTTCATTGATTAATTTAGCATGTTTAAGATTTGTTATCGAGAATTTATTGAGAATTTATCTTGCTTTAGTAAAATGAACACGCTCTCTGTGAAGAACAAATGCAAAACCGAAGAAAAATATTGCGCTTTAATTGATCCCACTTTCTCTATAAAACGTTCCTTCCATAATTCGATTTCACCGTAATTAGTTGTGGGGCCGGTTAGCTTTGATATCGAACTAATCGAGCTGTGCAATTTTGGTGGCGGCTCTTGTGACAAATTGATTGTATTGCGAAAACCAGAAAGTGGTTATTATTAACGCATAACAGTAGCCGAGAATCGCTTAACGAGCGGAATTTAAATCAAATGAATTCAGTTTTGGCCAGAAAGATGCGATGATCGTCTCTCCTTGTATTTTTTGAAGTCTCACGATGCTTGTTAATTCCGTAACTTTCGAGAGGTCCACTTGAGAAAATCGTTTTTTGTACAAAGATGAAATACTCACCCGAGTTGTGTATGTTCGATAATCATTCGTTGATATTTAAGTATTCCTACACAGATGTGTACATTAATGAAACGATTATTTTATCGTATTTTTTTCTGTTGGCCAAATGTGCTATTACTGTAGTTTACTATCTAAGAATTTTATAATAGTAGAAATTTTTGAAACTAATGAAAATTTTTAGTTATACTATAAAATAAAATTGCATGATAAAATAAAAAAGTTATGATTAAGTGTTCCATTTTTATAATTATAGTTATTATGCTATAATATTAATAACAGTAATCGTATTTATAGTTCTATAAAAAATATATAGTTGATACCGAAAATGACTATAAATTATTATAATTAAATTATAATAATTATAAGAACTATTTTTTTGCTTAGTGAGAGAAAGTTTTCTTTTTTTTTAAATTTTGATAGCATCATTAACCGGCAGTTAATATATATGTTAAAGATCGTGAGAAATCTTAAATTTATTAGCTATTTAAGTACAATGAAGCTTTGATGAATGAAATGGGTATGGGTACGCAATTTACCTGTACCCGACGTCATTAATGCAGCAAGCCATATCGCGGTATAGGATAATCTTCAGCCGGG